GTATGGCCGAGGTCTAAAAATTGCATTTTCGGACTGTTTAGATCATACCGGGTCGAAAAAAAAATTAATTTTAACTCAGTTTGTACTAGTCACAAAGATGTTAACATCCCGATTTAACGCGATACGTCGATTTCGCGATTTAACGCAAAGATCGCCGTCATTTCGAAATCCATCATTCGATGTGTGATTTCGCCGTCTTACCTCCTTAAGACAAGTCTAAACCTTAATTTCAACGCAGTTTGTACTAGTCACAAAAATGTTAACATCGCGATTTAACGCGATACGTCGATTTCGCGATTTACCGCAAAGATCGCCGTCATTTCGAAATCCATCATTCGATGTGTGATTTCGCCGCCTTACCTCCTTAAGACAAGTCTAAACCTTAATTTCAACTCAATTTGTATTAGTCATATAGATATTAACATCGCGATTTAACGCGATACATCGATTTCGCGATTTAATGCAAAGATCGCCGTCATTTTGAAATGCATCGTTCGATTTGTGATTTCGCTGTCTTACCGCCTTAAGACAAGTCTAAACCTTAATTTCAACTCAGTTTGTACTAGTCACAAAGATGTTAACATCGCGATTTAACGCGATACGTCGATTTCGCGATTTAATGCAAAGATCGCCGTCATTTTGAAATGCATCGTTCGATTTGTGATTTCGCTGTCTTACCGCCTTAAGACAAGTCTAAACCTTAATTTCAACTCAATTTGTACTAGTCATATAGATATTAACATCGCGATTTAACGCGATACGTCGATTTCGCGATTTAATGGAAAGATCGCCGTCATTTCGAAATCCATCATTCGATGTGTGATTTCGCCGTCTTACCTCCTTAAGACAAGTCTAAACCTTAATTTCAACTCAGTTTGTACTAGTCACAACAATATTAACATCGCGATTTAACGTGATACGTCGCTTTCGCGATTTAACGCAAAGATCGCCGTCATTTTGGGATGCATCATTCGAAGTGTGATTTCGCCGTCTTACCTCCTTAAGACAAGTCTGAACCTTAATTTCAACTCAATTTGTACTAGTCACAAAGATGTTAACATCGCGATTTAACGCGATACGTCGATTTCGCGATTTAACGCAAAGATCGCCGTTATTTCGAAATGTATCGTTCGATTTGTGATTTCGCCGTTTTACCTCCTTAAGACAAATTACAAGGGTGAACCCAATATAACACAAAAAATTCAAAACTTAAATTTGAACGATCACAAAGGTATTCGGAAGCATAATTAGCAAACTCAATCTTTTTCTTTACAATCTCATCTTACACCGAGCATGTTCTCATAATTAAAAAAATAAAACATTCAAACGTATGAAATGTGAAACCAAGGTCAAATAAAAAAGGTCTAAATAACTTCCATCATAACTTCTGACCGCAAATATTAAATTATTAAAAAAAAGAGTAATACGGTTTTTTAAAAAGGTGCATGGGGTTTTATTCTTGTCTCCTCGGAGTTAACAACTCCATTAGTTAATTTAGCGCTTCGCTAATGACTGAAAAACTCTCGTGCAATTGTTGATGCGAGTTAATTCGATTAGACCGAGTGAGATAGCCACTGTCAGCGAGCCATACAGGCTTAAAATAAATAAACGCTAGCTGTTTAATACCCCACGGCGCAGATGACTGCCGTGATACTCTTGAGTTATTCTCCTCGTTTGTTTCATCATACCGCATAATTACTCTACGATGCATGAATTTCACAATCGCAACGGAACTGTCAACGAGAAGGAACTAATGACAATGTTGAGTTCAACGAGGGGTGTTCGCAGTGTTCATTAACACAGTCCATGGGAAAATTTATCGTGGATATACGGGAAATTTTTCCGCAGATGATGATGATGATGATGATGCATAATCGGAAAGTCCCAGCTTCAAACTCCGGTCTGGACTATCCATTTTTTCAGTAAAAATTTTCTGGTTATTCATATTGAGAATAATCACGGTTCCCCTCCTACCTCATGCAAATCCCATCCAATCATTTCCTATGACGTCACAAAAATGTGAAACGCCCTATGAATTCCCTTCTTTAATGTAAAAAAAAAAACCCTTTGCTTCACCTCACGGTACCCCACTTTTCGCCGCTTTGTAGTGGTGTGTGGGCGCCAGCGTGCTTCTCTTATGGCGCACTAACACTCGGACGGACCCCCCACTCCTCTCACACCGAGACGATTCGAGACTTACGCCGAGCGATGGGTTAAGGTAGTTTCAACCGTGAATAGACGGGAGATCGTTTTTCATCCGAATATTTGAAAAATGGTTGAGAATTTTTGTTTAAGGATATCAAAGTACTTCGGCTGTTTGTTCTACAGTGAAGTGCTTTTCAGCTCTTGTAGTCGAACATCAGAGCCTTCATTTGAGCCCCATTTGACACTAGGATTCCGGTTGAATCTCGATATTGAACTGTTAGAAAAAAAAAGTCTAATAAAAGTTAGAAAGTTTGCCTTTGGAGGAAGATTGATGAAATAATTCTAAAATAGGAATTTTTTAAAATTACGAGTACTTTCTAAAAATCTCATTATTTCATAAAAATCATTTGTTCAGAATGCTAACAAATTTATTCACATTCAGAATTTTGTCAGAAATCGATTTCATTCCTAAAAAAATTAGGTTTCAGAGAGTTTGAACAATTGCAATTATTTATTTATATACGAGTGTTTCAAAAAATTAAACGAAATTAAATTTAAATTAATTGTGTGCAAAAGACGATTTGAGTGACGCTGAATATTCATGACTTTTGTTAAATTCATTTCACGCAATTTAATTGGAAAATTTAATCATTGAAAATGATTGAATCTACAGTGGGCTCTGTACCACACTGTGAAAAAATACTTGGATATCCTTAACTGAGATAATATAACAAAACTCGTACACCAAGTCTCTTCAGATAATTTCTCCTCCCCAAATGTTGGAAAATTTATCCACTTCAATGTTTAGTTGGAATTTAAATGCATGAGTGGAAAGGAAGTTTAGAGAAAGTTTTTAATGAGTTGAGTGTGACAGTTTTGTAGCTGATAAATTTTTTAATTAAAAATATGTTTCAACATTTGGCTTGGAAACTATTAATAAGGAGGTAATTAGGTCATCAACGACCGGATTCCGTTCAAATTATTAAATACTAATGAAAATTTTATTGCTCCAGCTTTTACATTGATTATTATTTTGATAATGAGTGGTTTGAGAAAGAAATGTTAGTGGGACTTTTTTATGGAGAATTTTGTTAGCTAAAAAGGCAAAATAAAGATGTTTCGTGACATTTCTGGTTGAAAATTCTCATTATCGGAGGAGATAATTAGGTAATTAACTGATGCATTTTGATGGGATTATGACGTTTTGGGGAAAACTTTACTTTAATGGTTTCTTAGTTTCCAGTTTATTTCAGTGATGAGACAGTCTAGTGGAAAATGTCAAGCGATTTTTTTTTGTAGAGACTTTAATTTTTTACAAAATAGGTGTTCTAACTTTTTGTCTGAAACTATCTTGTCCTGGGGACTTTTCCAAAATGAAAAATGTGAAAACAACTGACTGATAATAGAACGCCTTAGGGAATTGGAAACCCTGCGAAGTCTTTTGATATTTTCTCCTAAAATTTGCATCCCTGGAGAAATTTCCAAAATTATAAAACTAAAAAAATGTTCCTGCAATCTTCTTCTAAATCTCGTTCTTCTCAAAATGATCCTAAGTTTGTGAAACTAAAAAAATATCACGTAGGGGAGAGTGGAGCAAAATGAAACGGCCGAAAAACTACTATTTGACCCAATTCAAGCAAAAAAAAAATTTTATTTTATCAACTTTTGTTTATTAACTTTTTTTATTATTGGGAGTACTGATGAGAATAATAATTTTCTATTCGTCTTATAATTCAATTGATCAGATTAGACCGATTACACTTTTGTTTTTTCATTCAATTGAAATTCAGCATCACATTTTCCTTTTTCCCCCTCTGGGTCCGCTCCTGGGCCGTCCTCTGGACTTTGGATTTTGCTGTTTCAGTTTCTTTTCAATTATTCCATTGACAAAATCTTCTCCCGTCAAAACTTCTCAATAATTTTTCATTCTACTGAATGGTTAATAAAAAAAAATATTTAATCAAAAAAATTTTTTCGCTTGAATTGCGTCAAACAATCGTTTTTGACTGTTTCATTTAGCCCCACTCTCCCCTACATAAATTAAGCTTGACACTTTGAAAAACTCTTCAATTGTCCCAAAAACACGTGATTTCGAGAGGAAATATCAATACCCCCATTCAAATAATATTCCAAAATAACATTCCAAATAATCATTCTCTAAAACCCTAAAAAAACAGTTCCACCAAAATTTCACCGTTTTCAACAATTTCTCTTTTTCTCTCCAATAAAAAATAATCGAACTAGGAAACAATTAAACTCCGACATTCCCCTCCCATTCCCATTGATTTCCCCCCTCAAACAAAAACTCGAGTAAAAAAAGGCAAACTAGACTAAATGAATGAACACTTTGAGAACACAAGAATTCCGGAAATAATTCTCTCGTTTTTCCCTCACTCCATTCCTCCTCCCATCCGACATGATCCGCGGAGTGACATCACATGTGTAAATGAGCATTGATACATGAAGGTGATAATTAATTTTTTCCCAGCACGAGTCACGTCAGCAGAATAACAAATAAAAAAATATCGAAAACCGATGGGAATAACAGAGCGCAAATAATGAGTTGTAAAAATTATTTCGAATCATCGAATGAACGAAACGTTGCGTGAAAGTATTTTTCCGAGTCTATTGACCGTTGCCGGACAAATTGCCAGTGCGCATTGTGTCATCTGGGTATTTTCGGTGAAATTAGTGAGTAAAAGTCTCGAGAGCTGTCAACTTCGTCCGGAAAAACTAGCGGCTGATCCCCCCCTCTGACTACCTACAACTCCACCGCAAACCGGTTATTTTTCTCAATGAAAATTCACCCACGATAAAAAATAAATGACAAATTATTTTCACACATGGATTTGTACCTTTTGTAGTGATCTGGAAATTGTAATAGTCACACTTGATAACGATTATTCACGATAAACAAGGCGACGGGAGCCTCGGCGGGTCGCGCATCTTTGGCCCCGCGGCAGCCATCACTGGAGGATTTCTATTCCAACGGTTCGGTCTGTTCAACATTTTCAACTCCAGCCGTCGTTTTTTACGCGCAGTCGTCGGTGAATGGGGGAACGGCAGAATCGAAACGAATTATTTGGCTCCCCGTATCCTTGTAATTACGGGAATTCCACTGAATGCACTGAGAGAAAAACAGCAGAGTTCTCAAACAAGTCTTACTTGTGCCAAAAACATCGTTTGTTAGAAATTATCGAGAGAGAATTTTTTTGGGACAAACATGCAAAGCGCGCGCCGAGATTGGAAATTTTTATTCCAAAAATGGATTGTCTTTTTGAAAAAAAATTTATTCTCTGCGCAAGCAAGAATAGTATATTTCGATACGATTGCGGAAAAGTGTTTTTGGGCTCGTGGGAGGTTTGTAGCACGAGCCGAAGGCGAGGGATATAATCCCACGAGTCTAAAAACTCTTTTCCCGCGAGTATCGAACCCTATTTTTCATCACAATGTGTGAGAAGTGGGGTTTTGCGCACGCAGAGCGTGTGTAAAATGTCACTTTACGCACAGCGTGATGAAAATGTAATTTTTAGTCTGAAAAGGCACCGTCTTGTATGAATGATCCGCCTCTTGAGCCAAATTTTTCGTTGTTGTTGAGAGCATAGCAATTATTCATGTTTGCGACTTTTTAATTCGAACTAAACAATTAGTTTTTTGGTAATTTTCAACTAGCGATTTTGTTGGCCCAAACAAGACTTGTTTGAGAACTTTTTCGTTCTTCTCTCAGTTTTAGTGTTCTTATTGCTCAAATATTTTTCAAGAAAATTTTAGCAATTTTTGATGAATTTTCATCAATTTTTGACGTAATGAAATGCAGTTCCACTCAGGTGTTAACAAGAATTATTTTTTTATAATTATTTTTATTCTATACAATCAATTTTTCATGGACTTTTTCATTTTTTGTTTTAAAATTTCAATTCATTTATACTCGATCGCTGACAAAAATGCTTTCATACATTTTTTTCAATTGAGTCGATTTAGCTTTTCTTCAAATAAAAACTATTTGTTAATTCAATTGAAAATTGATGTTTTGCGTTTTTTAATATTTTTTCATCCAATCACTTTTCAAAGGTATTCCTTGAAATTTAACTGCAAATATTACTAATTAGAAATTTCCAAGACTCTTTCCGGAAATTTCAGTGAAAAATTTTGAATAGTGCATTTGCACTCATTCGTTAACTAAAAAACATTATTTATATTATTTGTTCCCATATTCCGATCAATTCTTTCGGTTTTCAATTTCACACTGTGTTTACATGGATTTTTCACATTTGGAGGGGTGGGATACGGTTACTTAATGAATGAATCGGTTTTTTTATTCAAGTCAATTTATTTTATTTCCAAAAAAAATTTTATCGAACATTTTCCGCATTGATTTTTCAATTTTAGCCCTTCTCTTCGCTCGGTAGATATTGCATGTAGTTTCCGAGTGGATAATTGTAGGGTTCGCACGAGCCAGGAGCACCCGGGAGGCCAGTTTTACCGGGCATGCCTGTAAACACACATTTACTTCATGTTCAATTACGAAAAAAAAAGCGAGAGGATTTAAATTTTTTTTTTAAACTGACAAGACATGTTGCGGGTACCGCAGTTAATTATCAGTAATATTATATCTTAAATAAGTATAGTTAAATATTATATCTTAAATAAATACGGAGTAAAAACCCCCAAAGTTAACAGCTTATGAGACAAAAGGGAAAAGGCTTAGCCGGCTCCTCCAACGGACCCCCACCAGAATAGATATTACATCAATAGCAATACTCGAACGAGAGTCGGTCTAACTGGAGGGCACAATACCATAGAACACCAATAAAAAGTCACAATGAAAAGGAAGAATGCGACAGTCCCTTTTATGAACGAACGTAGGAGGCGACGGATGTATGCATTTGATTACCGAAAGTCGGAAAATTTCGACGAGACCGCTCTACGAGGCACTAACAACAAACAGACGCTGAGGAAAATACAGAAAACCAATAAATTATCTAAATCCCCTGTTTTATTCACCCGGACAGTCAAAAACGCATCTCATTAATTGAGTTAAAAAGATCTCCAAAAAACTAACACGGAGAGCCAAAAGGAAAGGGCTTATTTAATCCCTCCAATAAAACCCCAGGAGGCTACATGTTGCATCACTACCAGTACTAGAGCACCGTCCTAACGCAGGGGACCTCGTACCGTAGAATTTCCACAAAACTCACAATAAAAAGGTACCCGTTCATGACCAAAGGTAGGAGGCGGCAGTAGGTAAATCTGATTATCGAAAAAATGGAGAAATCCGACGAAACTGTCCTACGAGACACTGACAGAAAACAGGAACACCAATGAAATACCGACATCCTATGAAATCCTATGAAAAGAAATAATAATTTAAATTCCCCCCGTCTTATGCACCCCAGTAATAAAAATGCGGATGCAACCGTGGGTCCCCCAAAGAAAACGGCCCACGCTCGAAATCATAAAAGCCTAAGCCCATCACTGACAGATAGCTGAGTGCACTGCACCGCTGGATCCTCAAAAAGGGGAGATCGAAAGGCAGGTAATACCTGTGGACCATTCAGTTATTTCGTATTTTCTGAAAACCAAAAGACACTTCTAATTTATGACCGTACGGACCCCTCTTTAGATTACCTTAACCATGCCACCCTTTACACCTTCAGAAGGCTGATGCCGGCAGATTCGTATATAAGGTAGTGATTTTGAACATTCCTTCTTCATTCCAAAACTGAATTTTGTGACGGTCACTTCGCACCATGTTACTTTAAACGAAATTTAAACTTTGACTCTGTTCACTGTCTTCCAAATTTTTATCTAAGACAGTCTTTGCATCATCGTGAAGCTCGGACTCTTCGTGACGACTTATCTCTGGTAGCGTTCAGCCACTCACTATACTAGCGTGGCCATCTTGAACCGAGATTTGACTGTTTACTTTGACTCCACCTTTTATTCAGTGAGTCTTCAGTCAGTTGTTATACTAATTTCTTCATCAACCCTGCCCGGCAATTTCTTCGAAACCAACTATACGAGTGGATCTTTCCAAGTCGAGACCTGGCTATTCTTTGCACACCGACTTCAACGAGCCCTTTCACACTCACTAGCCAAGTCAGTCATCTGTGCTGAGCCACAGTCCTGAATCCACCGAGTCATTGAGCATTGTCTAGGAGATTATCCACTCCCAAGACTCCAGTTCTGTGGACCATACTTGGGATTCCTTCAACCTTGTGAAATTGATGAGATCAAATATCAATTTCGACCCTTCAACAACACCATCGACCTTGGACAGTAAAATTTGCCACGATTTTCTATAGGTAATTTTCTCCAACTTTTCTCTGCGTGTGGAACGAGAAAGAAGGATTTTCAACATTTGTAGTTACCTGGGCGTCCCGACTTGCCCCTGTCCCCTGGAGCCCCTGGTGGACCGTCCTCCCCTTGAGGCCCTAGAACAATATGAGATTGTAACAACTTCTCGCAAACTGTAATAGCATCGAAATGAGTTTTTCAAACTTTTAGGATCGGTGGAACTCATTCTGAGCTTCAAAAAAATCCATCACATATTCAGTAATTTCTGCACACCTATCATTTCCTATTTTTGATTTTCGATGAATAATATCTCGTTTGAGGATTTATGAAAATGTGGAAAAAAAGAATTTTTCTTTTCGTAAATATTTCAAAGTTAGGAAATTTACCTGGGAGACCTCTGGGGCCCGGCGGCCCCTCGACACTGAGCCCCTCCCCCCCTCTTTCCCCTTTATCGCCTTTCTCCCCTGGAGCCCCTGCCGACCCGTGCACACCTGGCGATCCAGGTAAACCGCTGAATCCCCGTTCGCCAGGAGGCCCTTGTTTACCTACAATAAAACAATTTCTGTCAAATATCAACGATCGATAACACCATCAGTCGATAAAACAGGACGGCTGTAAAATATTTACCTGGAGGGCCGGGAAGACCTGATGCTCCGGGAAGTCCGTATTTCGAGAAAATTGGTTCTGGCATAAATTCATGAATTTCTTCTAAAAATAGCGGAAAATAAAACAATTTGGAAATAAAATCTACGGTTTATGAAATTTTGCAGCTTCATAGTTTCTGCTTAATTCGTTATTAAGATACATCCCAAGACAATCAGATCCAAAGGTTCGTATGGATTTCCGAAAAAAATTCTAAATAACTTAACTTATTGCACTCTCATAAGTTATTGAGTTTTTCTATTCTCATGTGTTGTTGATGCACGCAACAATAACTGTTTGAATCAAATAAGAAATTATTTGTTAATTAACCCCTGTTTGACCTATAACTCGCGTGTTAAGAGCCCGCATTTCATTACTTATCATCTCTGAAACTGTGTAGTACAGCTAGTTAGCATATTTTTTAATAGCTGGGGACTATTAAACATTATCTATGAAAAACATAGAACAATCTTATGAAAAATGTGTTTTCTAGGGACATACCTTAACCTCAATAATTAACGAAAGAAAGAATCAAGGTACTTCAGTTAATTTTTGGGGCGGATATTGGAAGGAATTATTTCGATAAGATGATTAAATGATTTACAGGTCTCGTCACTGAGAATCTCATTATCCTGATTCTACTGACGTTTTCTGTGCAATGCAATACTTTCCAACGGACATTTTCTATTGAAAAAAACACGCAGTAAAGCTGCGGACGTTTTCAATAGAATCGAACATTTTGAACGTACAAAAAAGGATGGTTAATCTATCAAGCGGAGAACAGACAACAGTTGAGAAGAAAAATAAAATTGACTAAATAAACTATTCATGTTACAAATTATGTTTCTCATCAAATTAGAAGTATTTTGGCGTACTTTTCCGGTTTCAAAAACAATAGTTAAAGAAAATCATAGATAATGGAGGACTTGTGACTGCAGTGGTAACAGTCGAATTTTTATCGGGCAACATCGCACGCTTCGGCTAGTAGTGGGGTTGTAACAGTGAGATGAATGTTTGTGTGTGTTGTACGTGTCGATATGCTTCCAGCACTGAATTATCGTCACCGACTTTACCGACCTCGATCAGCTGTTGTGCGGTGTTGTCGCGTTGCTCGACGCGTAATGGCGGTCAAATTTTTTTTTAGAGGAATTCGGAAATCAATCGAAGATATCACGCCCGTATGGACCGGTCCCCTACTTGTTCTCGCCGGCCATAGATTCTCCATTGTCTAAAGTAAATGGCTTGTGGTTTTTTTTCAATATCTTGAGTGTCTAACCCATGCAACATCTCGATCAAAGTTCACACGGTCATGTTTTTTCCCTGAGCGTAATGTTATAAGAAATGATTTTCAGACATTAATTTCTCACTAGAATGCCCCGATGGAAGGATTAAGATTATTACTAACGTGTGGCTCAAATATGAACCTGTTATATGAGACAATATCAAAATTATGGTGAATAATGTGGGATTTAGCTAAACATCCTTAATTTCCCTCAAGTAAAATATCAAGTAAAATTCCCTCAAGTAAAATTTGGGGGTACAATTCCAAATGTATCCCGAGTGGAAATTAAAATCAGGATAGAATGAGACTGACCAGTAAAAACGGACTTTGATCAGTTTTGGATCAGAAATGGAACGCTTGTTTGGATCCATGCCTGGTTAAAATTCTAGGATCCGATCTTTCTGAACAGTACCAGATCCTATACGGATCTAGTCGAGATTTGACTGATCAGAATAGGATCACAATTCACTTCGCCGCATTGGATCCAGATATTCCATTCAGAATCTCACCAGATCCTGATCCGAAAGTCTAATCAATAAATTGTGTTCAGTATTGGACCTAAAACTGATCTAGATCCAAGCTAACTGAGTGAAATTTCTACTCGGGGTCTTCCGCTCCATAAAATATTCTCATGTGGAACATATAGCTGTTCGGTAGAGCTAATGTTTTTTCTCAGCGCATGGGTGGTTATGAATAAGTCCTTCAACATTCCTTTTTAGTATTCATAGAATAATATTTTGCAAACCTCTCAAAACTCGTCTGCAAATACTGCGAACCTCCTCCTCACTAATGATCCCTTCGTTTCCGGAAAAGCCAGGCTCCCCAGGCATTCCAGGAAGTCCCATAGGTCCTTGAATACCTGGCTCCCCCCTCGTCCCCGGCGGGCCCTGTTCATTAAGTGATAAAATTCCGACAACTTATTACTCCCGAGAACTCCCAACTAGGAAATCGATATGACAGAAATATGTTCGATAGAAGATCTAAATTACCCTTAACCCAGTGTCGCCTTTTATACCTGGGTATCCATCCCTTCCCGGAAGACCTGGCTCCCCCTTTTGTCCTGTCCGGCCGGGACTGCCTGACACTAAACCCGGTATACCTGGAGAAATTTGTGAGTTATATTGTGAAGAAAACGGAAAATGTGGTTGTCACATACTCTTTCCTTTCCTTGAATTTTCATTTTCATGAGAATTTACTAAATTCTGTGAAAGCGACTACACGTGTCCAAAAATTTAGTGGAAATATTTAGCGCTTTCTCTAAGAAGTTCTATTGAATTCCTATTGAAATTCTATTTGAATCCTATTGAAAGATTCTATTTGTTTTTTACGTTAATGCATATTAAAAATTATGCAACGTTCGCTCGCGTTTTTAAATATATATTTGTTTCAAATAATTAGATGATAATAAATTGGCCCAGACGGTCTTCAGCAATTTTAATGGGGGTGATGAAGTCGAAAAAACATTGAAGAATTTTGTTTGTTTCATCACAATTTTGTTTGTTTAATTAGTTGAATCAGTTGCAACGGTCAAAAACTTCATCGAAAAATCGATATTTGGTTATAGAAAAATCAGCAACTATAGACATTTTTCTATCACCAAATATTGATTTTTCAACTCCATCACCCCCATTAAAATTACTGAAGATCGCCTGGGCCAATTTATTATCATCTAATTATTTGAAACAAACATCTCTTTAAGAACGCGAGCGAACGTTACATAATGTTTAATAGCATTCACGTAGAAAACAAATAGAATCTTTCAATGTCTTTCAATGTCTATAGTTGCTGATTTTTCTATATAATTTGTTCTATTGAGTTTTTTTACTGTAAGTATTTTTCGGCAAAATTCTTCCAAGCTTTTTTTCTTGAATTTCATTATTATTAAAACTTGAAAAGTTGACGTCCAAGAATTTCTATAAAGAAATAACAATCTATTGACGTTTTCTGTCAAATATCTCTTAACAAAATGACGCGGTAAAGTTGCATAATCTCCTGCAGAAATGGTTCAAAAAATCAGTAAAACTTTTTAATAGAATTTTCATAAAACATGAGACAGCGCTAGGGTTTCTGCTTGAATTTCTTTTCCATGCGACATGTGCGCACCATCTGGAGAAATACATCTGCACCCCAGTCCGCCCTTTCTTGTGTTTATTCTCGTAAATCTGTAGATATTTCCTCTTATCTGGCTTTTCCGGCTGTTATTTTCATTTGAGAATTTTCCACTCTTTACTCAGGTTACTTTACTTTAATCATTTTTTTTATTAATGTCGTGTCCTAATATGGTATACCATCGCGTCCTGGTTCTCCCTTTTGCCCGGGCAGCCCCATCGGCCCGATCGATCCCGGCTCTCCATGGAGTCCTGTCAAGCCTCTCAGTCCAGGCAAGCCCGTATCACCGCTGTCACCTTTTGCTCCAGGTATTCCAGGAAGCCCCGGAAAACCGCTCTCACCGCGTGCACCTAATTACCCAACATAATCATGCCATCAGCACACCGAGCCAATATCAATTCATCAGATGCTTATCAAAAATTACTGAAACCATCTCTAGAATTGATTCTCGCTCATCTGTGTGATTCGAATCTTATCTCTTGGACTATAAAGCTGTCTCCGAACGAATTGGAGGAATTGATTTAGTATCATTCGTCGATTAGGTGAATGTGAGGAATTCAGGTCAGCGATTATAATTGGGTGAGCGATTCAACCAATGAAGGTTGTAATTCAAGGACAGTTCAATGAGCTAGATTGACGAATGGCTTCAGATGAATGTTCCTTTGACCTTTTTCTCCGGGCTCGCCTTTATCTCCGAAACGCTTTCCATCCACGAACATGGGGCCCGGCAGTCCAGGGGGGCCCTATCATCAACAATCGTTTTATCAGCAATACCATTGTCTCTCAACGTCGACGGACTACTCACTTCATGATTGAGTGACACAGTGACTTCGAAATGGCGGAGATTCCACGTGATTATAGTGTTGGAAAACACTGGGAACAAGTTCCCAAACAAGCCTTGCTTGGGCCAAAAAATGGCTAGTTGAAAATAACCAAAGAATAAATTATTTGATTCGAATTTCTAAGTCTCAAACATGAATAATCGCTCTGCTTTCAACAACAGCGAAATATTTGGCTCAAGAGGCGAATCATTCACACGAGACGTGCCTATCCAGGATGAAAATATCTGTTATAGAGGGAAATTTATCATGAAATATTGGCAACACTATGGTTACCTTCTCACAAACTTGGAATTTTTCAACTTTTAAACCTTCTTCTTTTTTCTAAATTTATACCGAACAATTTATCACCAAAGTGTCAAGTCGTAATTAATTTTTTAATTTTTTTTTTTGAAAATTCAATTTCATTTAATTTTCAATTCATGTATTGTTTTTCCTTTTTTGTATTTTCTTATTATTTTTATCTCTTTTTTGGGATTCTACACCAGCAACGTCCTTGCCGTGAATCCTGAGGTTTGTTAAATGCCTCATTACTCGGTAAAAACAACGTAAATTCTGAATGTATACCGTTTATTGTGGGGAAATTTTTCCGGGGTATCATGAGAGACCTTTTTCTCGGGACTGGAACAAAGACGATCTTATGCGGGGGACCACCAGCGCCATAAAATAAACATTGGATACCTCGGCGACGCAGGCCAGAATTTTTCGTCTAAACAAATGACGAATGCAGCGTTGTAAATGACGAATACAGGGTTGACGATGAGGGATACGGCGTTGATGATCTCCACTGGGAAGTGGAGATCGAGTCAGTTTTTGCTCAGCAACGAGGGCGAGAGCACATCGAACTAACTTTATCGATTATTCCTTGAGATCATTAATTTATATTTGCATTCCACATTACTATTATTGTCAAGCAGTTTTATAATATACCACGAATTATTTTATAGTGAAATAGTTATTTTCATCACAAGGTCCACAAAGTATTTTCTGACGAATGTGGCTTTGTAAAATAATCACATTCGTCAGAAAATACTTTTGGACCGTGTGATGAATGCAATTTTTCGTCAGAAGGCCCGTAAACCGCGATAAAACCGAGCGAAGCGAGTTTACCGGGTCTTCTCATGAAAAGGATTATTTTAGTGAACTTATTCTAATACTCCCACACACCCTAAAAATATTTACTACATTATTGTGAATTCTTGAAGAATTCATGCCTCGAGAAGGGGAGGCGCAATATTGGAGATAATCCCCTACATCTATTTGAGCACCTATACCTATAAAGAAGGATGACTCATAGCGGTGGAATTTATACTGTGTAACCTAGCTCACAGAAAGGGACGATATCACACTTCGTAACTCCCAAACAAATTCGAGTTTATGTTACTCGAGTTTAAATCAAAGCAATCTTGTAACTTAAACTAAACTCGAATTTAAATTCGAGTTTAGTTTAAGTTACAAGATTGCTATTATATATTTATTATTATTTCATATAGGGATTCATTTCTTATCTGTAATTATTGAATAGCCGAAACGAAAAACTACTATCGCTTGTTTCGCATAAACGAATATTTTTTGGGAGCAAAATCTGTGTGGAAGTATCGAATAACGAAGAAATAGTGCTCGAAATGACATTTCTTGCTTGCACAGAGGATACAAATTTTTTTGGAAGTTGTAAATCAATTTTTGCAACCGAAATTTTACACCTCAGGACAGTCTTCAAATGGTCAACACCAAATTTTTTTTGTAATTTTGAATTAGCGATGTTTTGCGTTCAAACAAAACTTGTTTGGGAAATTCAATGACTTCAAATATCACGCAACATGATTTCATGACAGCAGCTGACTTGGAACTATTACGTCAATTCGACATGAATGCGTATTTCGGAAGCCATGATTTCACGTGCTTTTCATATTGATTTCAGAAGTGAGTAGCCCTTCACCGTAAAATACAATAGAACGTCTTACTCGTAATCCCGTAGTCCCTCGTACACCATCAGCTCCTGGAATTCCTGGGAATCCTCGTGGTCCAGAGTCTCCCCTGTCTCCTTTCTTCCCCACCATGCCAATTTCACCCTAACTTGAGAAAAAAAATCATGAAGGAACTGGGGACGGGTTTTCAGGTGTTGTCATGCAAATTATTAAACAACTCGATATTGCCCACTTTCTCGCCCTTCAGTCCATTGAGCCCCATGAGACCCGGTGGTCCAGGATACCCTGGAAATCCTCGAGGCCCCTAAAATTCGAAGTAGAAAAGAAACTGGTAATTCACATCCTTCACGCCTCTTCATCGGCTTTTGCGAGAGATCTGGACAGTCTCCGTTTGACTTTTGATGATTCTTATCGATCATAAGAAGGATTCACGCAAAATAAATAGTGCCTGACGAACTGGCTCTACACAAATTGTATCTTCAGTCGTAATTGTTCAAAGAGAGGTTGTCTTATGATTTATTCAGATAGGTTTATGGTCATTTCAAGGGAAATTATTTTATGTCATCCTCTACAATAAGTCGAGTTGATGATTTTTTTCCAACTTTTTTCACCGACCGTACACTTCACATCCGTCGAAAACGGGATTTTTGTCCCAGTGCTCTGATGTAATATAAACTCCAATTGGACAGTCTCGAAGGGCGTTGTCAAATTTATTGTCGACCGGTGTCAAATTAACTGAACGGTCTTTGTACCGGGAAGAAGAATTTGAGGGGGCGGATACTCACTTGCGTTCCGTTGGCGCCAGGAGGCCCTCCCGGACAGACGGTGTCACATGTTGTCCTCTTTTGCTCGTAAACTATCAACTTAGTTGAAATCGTTAGAAAAGTTGAGGAGGATATGTGTTCATTCTTTGAGAATGGAGGACTTACCGGAAGCTCGTCGCATCGTTCTCGTTCGGGTTTCGTCGGGTCGCAGTCGACGATCATCCATTGGAGATCGATCTGGAAAATGTGAAGTTTATCATTTGCTCCGTGAAAATTGTAAGTGTTTATTGGACAAAGATATACACTACTCAATATCATTCACTTGATAAAACCGGTGCCTCATACAATTCTCTGTAGAGTGAATGTATTTACCCGAAAGACATACAAATGTCTCACGAGAACAATTACTATTACGAAACTTATCACTTTTTGACGGAAACTTCGTTTTTTGTCCCCCCAGTAAATTGATTTGACACAACAAAACATTTCTTCAGGGGAACATATCATTTTTCGTCAAGACTAATTTTTCTCTCAGTGCCCAGAAGAGGACAAAGCTAACTTGAATGGATTATTCTGAAAATTATTTTCTCGTGTCTGAAGGATCATCTGATTTGGTTCGATCTTTCAAGTTCTCGTTCTGTCCATCGTGCAAGAAATTTGCCATTTCAACTGAAATGATGAACAATTGTTGGTGGATGGACATAAAAGAAGCCGACACACTTCAGAGAACTCATCAGATCTCTCGGAATTCCGACAAATGATCATTTGGGTCATCTGAACGTCCGAGGGAAATTATTGATTGAGCGACTTCGCGATTTCTATCATTCCAGCCACGTAGTTCATCATGATAACGTGATCAATGAATCTGATTAGCATGTGGGTCATGTGTCAGTGGGAGATTGAGGAAAATCTCAGGAGGCTTACCGGCACTGTCTGAGGATATGTAACCGTCCGGGATATGGTTATTTGTCCATCGATGTCTATTGGCCACCAACTACGCAATTTCATTGATCCTAGGAGATTGCAGTCCACGTAGAGGTCGGCTTTCTCCTGGAATACGGCGACTTGAAGCTTGTGCCATTGCTTGGTGTCAAAAATCTGGAATCGGAGAAGATGGAATTGTCTCCATACCTTTATAAATCTGGCAAGATTTTTGTTCGGGCAACGCTGGAAGGTCATAAGGGTTCGGAGGGTTGTATGAGGATATATAGGGTCTCATGAGGGCTTATGGGGGTCATATCCAGCTCATATGGAGGTGTTAGCCATTTAGGTATTCTAAGCTTAGAAGGGCTTCAGGAATTCCGACAAATGCTGATATGGGGTGGGACAGAAATATAATTGGACCCTTCAGAACGCCTCATCCTTGAAAACATTTGACCCTTGAGAATATCTGATCCTCAACACATCTGCCCCACTTCAGCGGACAAGAGAACAGATGATGAAAGTAGTCGCCTACTGAATGATTATCGTTTCATCTTACATTGGCATTATCAAACTTGAAGGTCTGCGGATGCTTGTCATAACTTCCAATAGTTAAATCCAGCGTCCGTCCTTTAGGATTTAATTCGATGGAAAATTCCGGAATACGCTGACGATTTGATATCTGAAAAATATGCCACGCCACACGTGGTGTTCTCCAAGTTCTAAATATGCTCGTGAAGCTGAATTCCTGCGGCAATCCGATCGGAAATAGTCGTCTGAAATAGTTATTCATATCGATGAGTCATCGGAATTCACAAGTTGTGACGTTTACTTTGATCAATAAATTCTTCAGGATTTCCAAGTAGGTCAAGCATTTTTTTCTGGGTGAAATCCTCTTCAGAGTTTACAGAATAGACCGAGAGTATTTTTTAGGCGTAATATCAACCTCAGTTTCCGAACATTTTTTTCGCGAAAAGGATTTTTGAAAAAATAAAATTTTGACACATTGTCGTCCAAAAGAGCTGTCTACTCCCACCTTCAATCCAATAGTTCATAGTCTTAAAGCGCTTTCTTGTGCACATAACCGTATATGACTTTGATCGTTATGCTCTCTAGTTTTTTTTTCGACATTAAAAAATATAAGTTACCGGGCAGATAGTTGCAAACAATCAAATTAAAAACTTTTTAACTGGTACGGCGACCATATTGGCTGGTTTGAATCCGCGCGTCTTGCAACGATCCGCACAGGTGACTACTAGGACCGAGTGAGTTAATTATAATGTTTTAGTGGCTCTGGCTGATTAGGACTGGGGTCCACAGTCTTACGGCCGTTACTTGGACCGAATATACGAGGTTATATGGAACACATGTGCAATATTACCGTATGATCATTAGACGTTAGACCAACCAAGTGTGACATTGAATAAAATATTGGTTACAATATTCATTGAAGAATTTCCCGAAAAAAATGTATTCATCAATGAAAAATCAGAAAAAGTATGGGGACGGCAAGATTTTCGGCAGAACTGAAATGTTGCTTTAAAAAAGTTGCTAACTTGTACAAAGTACTTGGATATCCTTGATCAATTTCTCAAGAACTACCTTGTGGAGAGCGTCAGGTTGGCATCCCTGTCAATACGATATGCGGTCTGCATGCGAGTGGTGCCCCTGACACGACTGATGCCCGGATATTGTTTCTCAGTGAAATCCAATCTGTAACGGCTGATGACATCGAATAACGTCTGAAGATCGTCCTCTCCCGGTTTATAACCCACACATGGTACGCCGTAATATTCGGATTTTTTTTCTTCTAAAATAATTATTTTCAAATTTTTCAAAAATATTTCCTTAGCATTATTAGTTTTTATTTGGATCAATACGATGCCGACATAGCAGATCTAGATTTTATTTTATAAGGGAGTCGTAAACAATCACTATATCCAGATAATAAATAATGTTATCCGGGTTATGGGACACGTCGAGTGGAGCGGATGTTTTTTTAACATTACCAAGAGCTGTAAAACGCGTCAAGCACATACTCATGAATTCTTTGGAATTTTCCTCTTCGACGTTCAATTCAGCGAGGGCGAGCTCGAGGCAACTACACTTCTTTCCCTTTTGAGTGTAATTGGGGCTTGAAAACAGTATCACTACTTTTCATATGAAAGTTTAGAATTTTTTTAAACTCACGTGCAATTGATTGTCTTATGTGTGCGACAAGATTGACCGTTACGAGTAAACAAAATTTCCAGTGGTATCTGTAATGAGAAAGAATACTCAACTGGTGGGGAATTTTTTTCAACATTTCAGGTATGAAAAAAAAATCATGGAAAGACCTAGCGAGTTCGATAAAATATTCTATTGGAGTTCTGTTGAAGATTCTCTTAGTTTCGGCTGATACTATTAAAAAATTCTGTAGCTTGTCTGCGCGTTTTTTTTTCAATAGAAATGTTCAATGAAACATATTCTATAGAAAAAATCGATAGAATTCAATTTTTTTATAAAACTTATTCTATTGAGATATTTTCTATAGCAACTTTTCAGCTTAAATTCCCTAAGATTTTTTAAAATGGAAAGAGAAAAAAATTAAGTGAAAAGACACTTGAAAAATCCATATCGAGGAATTTCTACAGAAAAAGTTGCACAGAAAGATGAAATTCTACTGGTTTTTTTCAAATCAAGGGGAGATAATTATATCGGAAAAATATTTCTCATAAAATTCCAACTGTAATCACAAATTCCATAACTTCGCCACTTCATGTATATTCGATTCTATCGTACATTGAGATGCGAAGTGAATCAATGAACATTCCTGATATATTTATTCCCCTTCACTACTCCTATAGTCAAGTTTTTTCATACACCGAATTCTTCGTGAATTATTACATACCTATTTCGCGATGTCTGAACGTAAATTCTTATCACCAATGCATACGTCATAACTTACAGATATGTTACTGCAATGAATATGCGCACACGGATTTCAGTTGTCAATTAGGTAATGCGTTACAATATACGACTATATTTCGACATTCTTGGCATTCTCAATGCTCTGCTCTCCCATTTCATTGATTATTTTGAAAAGATGAGATAACGTAAAAAAACATCACATCCCTGCTGAAAGGGGAATTTTGTAGAACGAATTTTTACGGCTTGATGGCTTACTCGACTTAGCGGCTCGGATGCTCCCATAGAGGTGGCAGCCTGTTACATAACGCCTGGTAAAGGCGTGGTAAAGATATTCTACGTACGATCCAAGTGCTATAACGAACTCAGAATTTTAAGAATTCACTGAACAAACATTGCATTTTATCATCATTATCATGGAGAAAACAGCTAAAATAAAGAAAAAAAATGAATTCGATCCTGCCAGGATTCGAACCTGGAATCTTCTGATCCGTAGTCAGACGCGTTGTCCGTTGCGCCACAGGACCCAATGCCATACCGGAGTCTAAAAAAACTTTTAGCCTACGCATGCCGCCGGCCTCAAATTTCCGGAAATTTAGTCAAACAAAGGAGGCATTTATGTGAAAAACAGTTCTGAGAACTCGTGAGTCATCATAAATCAGCAAAAATAAGAATACTATTTAGTCAGAAACTACGATTTTGAACGAAAAAAAAAAAACTTACAGACTTTGTAATGACGTCATAGTCTATTAATAAGAATGACATCTGCGTGAATCACGTGATGATGTAAGATTCCGAGGAGAGAGGGAATACCTGGAAATGAGAATGAATAATATATTGACAGAGTATTGTAATATCACTCGCGCATAAAGCGTCCATCAGAAAAGTCAGTAAGAACAATCTAGAATTCAGTGTCGGCCAGAGTGGAGAAAATAATACCCCCGACATAACAATTACCCGGACGCTAGCGTATGGGGGATTTGAAATACCCAGCCGTCTTTGAATTATTAGAATTTAATATAATTATTCCCTTTGAGAAATCCACCCTCCGTCAAAGAGGAGAAATTCCCGGCATGGTGTTGATCGTTTGTCGTCATAGTTGTATCGATCTACAAGAAAGAAGGAAAAACTTTTCGCAAAAAAAAAATCACGTTTGTCCTTCGATCAGGAAAATTTGCAACTAACAGCAATTTGTGTATCAACCTCCTTTATTTCGCATTCAATAGGGGTTAAAGTTTCAAGTGACATACGGAGTAACTATCGATCGTCACATCTCCAGGTTCGTAATGATAGTTTCAGTTATGGTCTTTTGAATATAACTCCCACCAATGAGAATCTGCTCAATTTCAGAAGGGATATTAAATATTCCCTGGAGGTTATGATCCCCACATTAACTGGAATGATAACTATCAAGAAAGCTAATATTAAACTTGCAGTTACAAAAACACACGAAGACATCCTCTATTACAACAATCTCGAGTTCCTTGAAATTTTCTTCTTCGAATCTTCTTCTTTCGAACTGTAATTCAATGCCATAGCTGGAATTCCAATATTGCGATAAAAGTTCCACCCCCGTTCAACTTCCCGTTGACTATACTTTAAAATAAGAAGATTTCACCATTTTTCTTTTATATCAGAAACTAGAGTTAATTGGTAGTCCTTAACTTCTGTATTTTCCCCAATCACACCGTGATTAACCCGCTAGTAGGCGCGCGGCTCCACCAGCATTCTTGAGGCGCGCGATGAGAGAATCTCTCACCAGCTTCTAGTAAGAATGAAGCTAAATATCATCACCGGCTGCGCTGGTCGGAGTTCAGCGGAAGAAAATACTTTTTATTCTACTCAACCCTGATCGATAGGCGACTTTTATCACTACCAAAGTCAACTGGACGAGTTCCTTGAGGCATTAAAAAAATTTCAGCAAAATATTTGCACTTTTATGGTATATTTCCTATGGAGTGAAAATTTTTGGGAGAGAAAGTCTCACAGCGCCAACTGTCGGGTTCACTCAATCATGCTTCCCACGATGTAGAATATCATATTAAACACGGGATACACCGAACAATTCACCGTATATGGATGAATTTTGATCCCACAGCAACTATCCCTACTCCCTGCATCCAATCCTCAGGAAACCCTCAGCAATACCTGGGTCTCGGCTCATTGGTCGATGCGGATGGCTCAAGTGTGCGTGATTGGTTGGCGCATTCTGTTGTGAGGCTGAAGCCTGGTGGCCCACGAGGCCAAGGATATTGCGCTCGGTATTCTGGCGCTTCCGCTCGTCAGACACTGGCAGTAGCCGCTGGGAGGAAGTCGTGTGCACACCTCAGGTGATGATCGAGGGGTGAACATCTCTATTATTTTCATCTACTGAGATCATGTATCAGCACATTAACAAAGGGGAAGTGATTTCTTCATCGATATTGGGTATCCGGGGTTACTAATCTCAAAAATCCCAACAAATATTTTCCGTTTACTTATTTCCTTCTTGGACCGCATCTTCTAATAGTGAATAAAGTTCTCGTCAGAGGTGATAGTTTCTCGCTGACACGTACAAAGTAACCGAATACCATGCCTAGTTGCAATGGAATAACAGACGTGATCGTATTTCCATCGTTTTCGAAGATTAAGGATTCCACATATAACGAAGCCTGTAAGTTTCATATTATCATTCAACAAAACTGGCTTTATTCTCATTGTTGTATGCACTGTTGTTCCGCCTTTATTTGAGATTTTTATGTGGGGTTTCAACTATGAGAGTTCCAGTCGTATTTATGGAAGATAAACATCGATAAGTCCCAACCAATCACTTTGCTTTTATTATTTTCACACTATAAAGATCGATAAGGGACTCATTGTGCCAATGTTGTGACTTGGATTTCCGAGAAATTTTAGTGATGAATGCGAGTGGGAGGTGAAGAGGGAACGAGTCTGGACAAAGGAGAGTGAGGGAGGGATAGGAGTATTTCGTGGAATATAGACGAGCGCAGACGTGACTCAACCGGCACCGACTCGCCCCCATACAAAGGCGAATGAGTTATTATTGTTTTCGTTATTCAATACTAAATATTATTATTATGTCGTCGTAATCTTCTTATTTCTGGAAAGCAGAGGCTATTTCTTGATATTCCATACATATATTGACAAATATTGAATTATTGAATGGTTCGCCGTCAAGTTTCTCGTGGATTATTTTATTTTTCCCTTTCTTTTTCTTACTCCTCGTATTATTTTTGTCTCAACATATTTGTTTCATTTGCATATAATACTATGTGGATTATATTGGCTCACGATGAGACACGTGTCTGTCGAGCCAGAATGTTCTTTATAATGATGCATCTAATGTATACAACTGGTGGTGTGATCGCAGCCGACATGTGGTAAACTGAGTGAAGGGGGAGAGAATAAATGAACGAAAAAATTTTTTTTCACAGAATGTAAAAAAGAACAACTACTTCTCACTAGATTGTTCGAGCAAATTTCAGTTCTACTCGTAATCATTAATTTATCTGTCTTTTTGTAATTCTGCAAGTTATCGAAATTTTTTTCTTCAACAATATTGCATGTAAAAATATGATATACCCGTTTTGTTTAATCAAGTTACGATATCCTTATCATGAACTCCGAGAGATAATGCCATGGGAAGGAGCAGTTTATGAAAAGCACACACATCTAAAAAATGTTTTCTGAGAAGCGTCTTTTTTGTTAGTAGACGATAAGCCATATCCGGTATTGCGATAAGATAGATATTATCTGGTAGCTAGTAAGGGCAATTTTTCCGCTGAAAAAAAAACGGACGTACCATCCATTTTGTTCTGTTTCATTTAGACGATTGCACGAGAGAAGACGACAAAATGGCGCCACGTTTCTGTTCAGTGGGAGATCTCAGCCGTTATCATCTGAGAGCACCAAAACAGAGACGTTTTGAGTCATCAGTTGACGCAGCAACGGTCAGTAATAAGATCGACTTTCTACGGTGTATGGGACTGGCTCTGTCAACACCGCAAGAAGGATTCGTCTGTGAATTGTGCCAGCAAGTTCAGTGCTTTTGTGATATGAGAACAAGCCCAGTGGATTTTATAACTATGAAAGATCAACACGAATCCCTCGGTATTTCAGTCAAACCTTGCAGGGTTTTGATCGCCGGTGATGAGTGCAAAGTGTGTAAAAAACTTTTTAAATGCGAGACTGATGTGCGGGATCACATGAAGAAGCGACACAAGCACCGGCTGAAGGTGACTCTCAAACTCAATAACGAGACTGTGAGCACAAAATGGATAAAACGAAGTCACCTCAAACGCCGTCGAAGTCATTCAGACAACAGTGATGGTTATCGGCACGAGGGGTATCAAAAGTCCGTTGAAAATACCTTCGAGAACAGTCTCGAATCGCGACTTGGGCGAGAAGACTCTAGTAGTAAAATCCGTAAAACTGACAGTGCAAAGCCTCAGGATGATCGTCCCTGCTCAGCACCATCACTCGGTGTCTCTTTTGATCTGCCTCTCTGTCAGAGCAGCAGTTGTCGTTGTTGTGTCAGGAATATTGTCAATCCGTGGGACGACAACAACAACAATTGTTCGCAGTCTTACTTACCTGGATCTTCCAGAGTTGCTACTGTGCGTCAGAAGAGTTCATCAGCAAGCGCTGTATCCTGCCAAACACCGGAATGGCTTGACAAGTCCACGACTTGGATAGAGAGGGTAGAGGATAGGGACGTCATAACGCTGGACGACGCGGAAGATATCAGCAACGACATCACTGAGATTCCAGTGGAGCCCCCCTGCTATGATCTCGAAGTGGACTCCAACTATCAATCTGACGACGAGGTGGAGAAGGTCCTGGAGGTCAGGAATAATCAGGCACCCTTCATCACTATTAAACGCGAGTCCAACGACTCGGGAAAGAACCTGAGGATCTCTGATGCCATCAGGGACTTGATGTCAGCTGAGAACAGTTTGAGCTGTCATGAGCACGAGGATTCTGAGCTTCGGACTCATGATTTCTACAAGAATCTGGACAAGACGATGGAAAACGACGATGACGAGGAAAACAACTTCACCCTTCGCTTCGACGATGACGAAGAGAGTTGTACGTTTGTTATTAAAGATAATGTAGGTAATAAAGAGTATTCGAAAGGTTTCTCTGGCGATTTTTTTGAAGACACCCATTTAGACGTGGCTGTAGATCATCACGACGCGTTGGAACAGTCATCGAGATTTTGGCATTCGTCGACGAAAAATGTTGAACGCTTCTCGTCGTTTGATGGGCCAATCGAATACATCGGCAATCGCAACTCGATGGTTGCTGTTAAGGAGGAATTGAATCTGGATCATTACTTGTTTCATCGTGAATGAAGGATGTCAGTGCAGTGTTTTGAAGTTTTGAGTTTTAACTTTAAGTATTAGTATCTAATCACCAAAAAGGAGATGTGATATATGATTAAGTTTAGAAACTTTATTTCTTTGAAAAATGGAACCAAATGATGAAGACTTTGTTGTTATTTGATAGTTTTTTTTTTCTACTGCAGGTGTGGTAATTCAGAGAAAATAAGACTACAGATGGTGATTATTATGGTCAATATAAGATATTGATGTTTAGGTTTAAAAGATTCTGTTTTATCGGCTGCTGATGAATCTTGGTGTCAATCTGCTTTTCGATAGGTTCACGTCGTCCGTGTAATTGATGGATTATTCATGTCAAAAGCTATTTTTCATCGTCATTCATAGTAGCTTATATCGATCAATAAATATAAATTTTTCTATGGTGTTTTAATTGTCTCGTTTTATTTTGATTTTTAGCTTAGGTTTTAGTTGAATTGTTGTGATTTTTACTCACGTGCTGGGTGACTTAGACTCACGAATTCTTGACTCTTAACGCTATTTTCGATGCTAACACTAGGGAGTTAACTAGTGCACTGTGGTAATAAGTTTCCAGAGAGTTTGTTTGACCGCAACTGTCCACTCGACAATGAGCACGCGGGTCTTGATGGCATCGAGAATGATAGGGGGAAAAGCAAAAGACTTGAGATTAATAACGCAATTTGCAGATGTTTAGCCATTCCACTTTTGCTCGGTGCATTCTACTCGGGTTTTTGTTGACTCAAATGGTATTTAGCTGATCGAGTTAACAGGGTCTAAATGCTTTTGCAGAGGGATTCGAGTTTTTGTGTTGATTGGACGTAACGGCAATTTACGCTTGGTCGCGATGTTTTATTGAGGGCTAGAGGGAGTGATGTAAAGGTAATAAAGGTTGAGTTTATGTCAGGGAAAACGTTTTTTTTTCGTGTCATTGAATAGATGAAACCGATGTGATTGAATTTCCGGAGCAATTCGATGTTTTCAGTGTCAAGTTTGAAGAGAGCACGGGTTGCGTTGATGAAACCCTCGGGCGGATTTTGGGAAGAAATATTTTTGAGGGCGGGGGATCAATTGAATTTTTTGTCATGTTTTTTTTGTTGGAGGGTATAGTTTAGGAAAAAGCCAGGAATTTTATTGGAAATTGCGATGATTTTCCCAGCGTTTTTGTCAGTGAAAATATTTACTGTTTTGTCAGTGTAAATATTTAATTTCAAAAATGTAAAAAGTCGTGAACCATTCATAACAAAAATTTCTTTTGCAGAGGGATTCAGGTTTTTGTGTCGATTGGACGGAACTCCAATTTGAATTGATGAAACCCTCGGGCGAATTTCGGGAATAAATATTTTTGAAGGCGAGGGATTAGTCGAATTTTTTAGCATCTTTTTTTTATTGGATAGGATCATTTATGAGAAAAAGACGGGGAATTTTAAAAATGTAAAAAATCTTGAAACATTTATGACAACAATTCCTTTTCCAGAGGGATTCAGGTTTTTGTGTTGATTGGACGTAACTCCAATTTATTGGCAGTCGCTTGGTCGCGATGATTTATTAGGGCTTAAGGGGAATGGTATAAAAGTTGAGCTCATATCAAGGGAAACGGATTTTTCGTGTCAATTAATGGGTAAAACTGATGAAGTGATTGAATTTGAGACGTAATTCGATATTTTCAGTCTCGAGTTTGACGGGCGCACGGGTTGAATGGATGACACTCTTTGGGGATAAATATATTTCAGGGCGAGGGATCAATTGAATTTTTTGTAGTTTTTTTTGTTGACTGGAATTGTTTATGAAAAACCTCGGAATTTTATTGGAAATTGCGAAACTTCCAGGTTTTTGTCAATAAAGAAATTCGATAAAAATATACTGACTTGAAAAATAACATAAATATGTAATAAATCTTGAAAAACTCATGATGAGAAATTTCTTCACAAAATTTCAACATATTAATTTGCAAATGAAAATCAAAATTTATTGGTTTTTTCCTATTGAATCTTTCTACATAAAAAAACCATGTGAAGGAGTTTTTATTGAATTTTTTCACGATTTTCTATCCCTCTCGATATTTAGCGGCCGTGAATACGGTGGGTAGACAGAATCGATTAGGCACCTAGTAGCGCCGTCCGAGACGAGCTGGTCTTCATTACATAGAGAATGCGGGAAAGGGTGGAGGGTGTATAAAATACATAGTGGAATGATTGTCTTGCAAAAAATGGGGTCTTCGTTATTTAGTATTTCACTTGCGTAAGACCTGATGACGTAAGTTGGGAATCGCGCAGGGGATGCGTAATATCTAATTCAATGAGATATTCATTACCATCTTTTGCTATTTTGTTGTGAAATAGGGGAACTAGAGGCGTATGTTTGACATTGGGAATGAATATTTCAGTTGAATCTATGGGAGAACGCGATACGCGGTAGCGCATCGGCCAAAGAAAAATTTTGACTCTGATTGTACAAAACCCGCCGATCGCTGTCGTATTTCTATACACGAAGCAACTACCCCCTCTACTACCTCCGAATCATATCCATTAAAAAGAATGCAAACGACAAGCTGCATGAAAAATACTCTTAGTTATATTATATAAATCGGCCACAAGATTCTCATTGATGGAACTATTTTTTTGTTCATAGCAACGGGTTCATATCCACATTTTCGCATTTCACATTGTTGTACCCAGCGTGGGGGGTACTTATAATTATAGTAGGTTCTAGGCTTAAAGGGATAAATCCCACCAATGGTTTATCGGCATTTAAATATGAGAATTTATTACATGATTATAATTACTGTGTCATCTGACTGATTACAAAAAGTTTACGACTTTTGTACGCGTCGGAGTCCAATTCAGGTCTGATCTGTGCAGACCCAACCGTCTCTTAAATAATACAATGATTGTTTACATTTCATCACTTGGTCAGCATAATCCAGTTATACTGGCAAGTGTCACGCTGACAATGCTGTATGTCCACATATTAAACAATAACGCAATTGACCAAATCTGGGCCATAACAACATTATCTCCCATCATACGACCACAGGCACCAAGGAGGGGCTCGAGACTGCAAGGAGAGAGCTCAGCTCGGCTCCTAGTACTGGCTCAATCTTTTTTAAAAATTTTTTAAATTTAAAATTTTTTTTTAATTCTTAAATTTTCTTAAATTTTTTCAATTGAGAGTTCAGGTATTTATGGCGTGGTCAGGGGTAAAAAAAAAGTCAAGAAATTGATGATTTTGTTTTCATACATTTTTCGATTTTTTCAAAACTCCTATGCAAAATATCAGATAGCCTAGGAGAATGGGTGAAACGAGGATTTTTCTAAAAAATACATTTTAACACGGGCTCCTATCACGATTCGGAAAAAAAAAAATTAAAAATAGAAAAAAAGTCGCCATTTTCCTGAAATTTCACACTTGGGTGGAGTTTTCATGGAGGAACATAAAAAAAATAATTCAAGTGACCTAGGACAATAGTTTAGAAGGGATAATTAAAAAACTCATGAAAGATAGGAATTCTGCATGCGTTATTTGGAATAGCGTTATTTGGGTAAGCGCGGAAAATAGGAATGGAGTTGTGATGATACATTTCGCTATGGGAAGGAACATAAGAGCTGAGTGAATCAGTGCTGCCAATTTGTACCTCGAACGGCACGACGTCACTTTTTCTATCCATATTTATTATTTTCCAATTATCCAAAGGACAAACTAGAAAAATAAAAGAAGGCTTGAAATATGTGGGAAAAAAATAGAAAAGTTTTGAAAAAAATAGTTCGAACACAAAAATGGTCGAGATATATTGAAAATTTGTAATTGAAATATCGTTTTTTTGTTCAGCGATTGGTTTTCTGCGAGAGAACAATAGATTCCCCTCCATCTCACCTCCTACATGTCCACCCCACCATAAATACCTTATTGTGGCGTTCCATAATACACCTACAATTTAGAATAAACATGTAAGATTCTGGCTGCTAATTAAAATTATCGAGTCACACTCGTGTATTAAAATTGTGTGGGGATCGATTCAATACATCTTGGTACAGAGCAATTTATTCAAAAATCTTTTTTTCTAAAAAGTCACACATCATCATTTTATCGATTATTTTCGCCTCAGTTGCCTATACTCGACTTGTTTCAATTTCCTCCCTGTTAATGTTGATCACCTCGCTCACTTCATCATCCCCCATCAAAAAGAAGCATTGACATGCGAAAGATTAGCCATCGAACAGACCCTCAAAGACCTCGAGCTTTTACCCAAAATTGCCCGGAGATTTGGCCCCACTACATCCCACCATCTCCCCAGGTCCCCAAGAGAAAATCAATACATTTCAGACATAATACACGTTTACTATAGTACAACACAGAGAACTGTGGACAATCGAAATCCTTAATTAGCTATTATTGTCATGGGATCGTTGAATTTTCCGAAAACTCTCGAGGCAATCGGCGACGGAAGTGAAGGTATCCCCCTGGGAGTTTTCGAGGACTCGCTCGAGGGATGCATAAAGTGTCTCCAACTGATGACAAGTCCAGCCGTCTGTGTACTCCACTGTTCGATCCAGTAGGTCCTGCACCTGTAGCTCTGTGAGATCCTCGATTGAATTGAGTCTGCTGTCTCCGGACACTCTATGGCGTTTTGAGGTGGTACCCTCGCCTGAGGCACTGTGTACTCGCTTCAGACCATTTCCTGATGAAGATAGGAAGGGTTTGGGGGATTCAATAGGGGTCGGGAAGGAGTTTAAGGGATTTCGTGTGGAATATCTTTGGATTTAGTGATTGTCTGGGAGGTGACGGGCACGGAGAGAAATATTCAATAAAAATTACGTATTTTTTCTGTAATTTTAGAGCGAAATGTGGTTGTAGGAAATTTTACGGAACCGTCACGGAATTTTTCCAGAACGTTTTGTGATTTTTATCTGAATCTCCTGTGAAAGATTACGATAGAGGAGGATGTGCCTGTACCGCTCAGCGGGTAATACCGCACGCCCGATTTTCTCCGCAACCATCAACGCAAAAATTTCTTTTTGTTCCTGATCATGAAGAATTTGATGATAGGATGTGATTGTCGGAAAAATTTCACTTTATTTACCACTTTAAATATGAAAAAACACGTAACGAAGTTTTGAGGTCTTTACAGTGCAAAATTTGTGGACTTTTAATTAAAGTTTTTGATAGTTTCAAACGCGGAATTCTCATATTAAACTGTGGTTATTCGATTCGTGGTACTTTCACGCGTAATTTGAGACCAATTCGAACTCAAAACTCCACTCATGTCAATAATTATCAACAATTTTGTTGACGCTGAGCGGAGCAGGTAATACCGCTCATAGGATCGGCCACGTAGTTGCTCGACAGCACTCGAGTACAGGTTAGGTTGCGGCGCGAGCGATACACGCAAAACCCTATGAGCGGCATTGGAATCGAGCCGAGTGGTATTACCCGACGGCGGGTAGTACCGCTCAATAGGCTCTCTCTTTTATTTTCAATCAATTTTGTGGATTCTAAGGAGAATTAGGCGTCTACACTTCGAGAATAACGAGTTCAATAGTTAAAGAAGTCTCACAAATACGTTTTTTATACTCAAGTTGAAATATAAAATATAAAACTGGCATTTCCCCTTAGGTGGGCGGTACAGGCACACCCTCCCCTACCGTTACTTAAATTTTCTGAGTCGATTGCGTAATCGATGAGCGAAATGTGAGTTCTGTCATTTTTACTGAACATTTCTCTCCGTGGGGTGAGTGGTTGCAGAGGGGACTGTTATTTTTTTTTCGCCACTTCTAAAAACTTTTGGCTGTTATTTTTTTCTGTATATTCTTTTCTGAATTTGTCATCATGTGACAGTTCTACTGTAATGTCAAGGAGTTTCCTCACTGAAAATTCATTCACTGAAAACTTTTCTCTCTAGTTCCTCAAATGGTCTCAAATCACCATCATCAAGCTCATCTCGACATAATTTACGTGTATTAGCCGCATGCCCCGAACTCGTCGTCTGAACCGCGCTCAATTTCGTCCTAGCTTTCCCCTCCGCCCGTCTCCTCGTCACGGGTGCCTCAATGATCTCCACCTCCTTCGGCCTTCTGAGCTCTGCTTTCGGTTTTGTCGGCCCGAGAACTTGAACAAAGTCCACTGTAACCCCAAGTGCATCAGAAACAATAAAGTTTAGTCCATCCCAATGCAAAATATTCAGTAGTAATACCACTAGTGCTTCAAAATTATCGGATATTTTCCGATAGCTTCATTGCCCAGAAACGATTGTGTCAAATTTTGCAGGTTTACAAGCCCGAGTGGGAATATTGTCACAGCCATACATTTACAACCCACTTTTTTGTTTATCGGTCACACGGAATATTAAACGTGAAATGCGTTGAAAGATGAGAATCATTTGAAAAGCTACTAGTGAATTTCCGTCGGAAATTTTAGAAATTTCCGAAATAAAACTGTTTGACAGCCTCAAATACTGCGCTCTGATTGGCTGATATCCGAGTGAGAAAAATAATCATTGAAAACGAGTGGGAAATTTCTTTTGTCTTCACATAGTATACACAGAGAAAAGTTGAATAAAAATTATCTTGAAAATCGCGGTAAATTTTACTTACTAATAGTTTTTTATCGACAAATGGTAAATTTTTCAGTTTCCGCACAAATTACTCTCACGTTTAGTAAATTTTTCTGAGTCAACGGAGAAAAATCCACTATTCGTCTCCCACTTTGCCCCGATTTAGGGTGAAAAAGATCTAGAAATGCATTCTGCTTCACAGAAATATTTATTCTATTGCACGTACGAAAAAATTTAATATCAAACATAGCGAATTCGCTAGAAAATTCTATTGGAATTGTATTGGATTTCTATGCAATGGTTCTAGGATAAATGTTCCTCGGAAAAATGTTTCCCATATTTTCTTCTTTCACGGCGATTCCCGCTTTAATCGTTATTTCATCAAATATTACAGAATCTCAGATGTTTATTCCAAGTTTTACGCATATTATGGAACGCCACATTGACTCTCAATTGAAAAAATTATAAAGACGCGAATATCGCGAAAACTTTTTGTCACTCGTACCATAAAAGAATAAAGATATTTTTTAAAAATCTCGCAAATAAATTCAAGACAAAATTGAGGATCAACCGTAAGAGGATCTGTTCGAAATGTTGTCAGATTTTCCATGGACTTTCGTGAAGATCTGTTGAAAATAGGCTAGTCTCTCCACAGGTCCCGGCGACGAAACCTCGAACATCTCGCTCTGATGAACATCGAACAGCTCCAGTATCTGTCAGAACGTCAACAACAGCCTGATGAATAATGCCGGATGTAAAAAATAAAATGAATGCGAAATTTCATGTTTTCAGACCTCCACAGGTATGGTATCAGTGCTACAGTTGACGGTCGAGAGGAAGAGCATGTGAACAGATCGATCCAGTCCCTTCATAAGGGAGGTGAAAACAACACGTGCCGCTTCGCCAACCAGATCCCACCACGCGAGTATATCCGGTACGTAAAGCAGGGAGGGAAGGGTATGCCGCGCTGTTTTCACCTTCTGTGTGGGAAAATCAATTGAATTATTCGTACGAAATTTTGTGATGAATACGTGTCATGACGCGGATAGCATATCTTTTCCAAAAAAAGAATTGTTCCCTCGAAATCATAAGTATTTAGTGGACAAAGATATGAGGCATTCCACGTCAAATGAGTCCATCGTTGACCCTCACCCTCTTGAAAATTGATGGCGATTGGGGGGGGGGGGGTGAAAAACTATCTCTCAAATTTTTTCAGATTTTTTCGCTAGCCCAGTTTGGAGATTTGATTTTTTTCTTGTTTTCTCGTTTTTTTCCAATAACTCGAGTTCTATTCATCCGATTTTGATCTATTAAGGGTCACAATTTTTCATTTTTTATTGTCTATAAGAATATTTTTAGTAAATTTTTTTTTCGATCTTTAGATGCTCATAATAACGCATTTTCGAAAAAAAAGTTGAAACAGTTGGATTTTGCAAATTATGTCACTTTTGATTTGTTTCATTTTTTTCAGTGTACTTATACTCAAAACGAGTATTTTGAGCCATCATACAAGTGGGGGATCCTCCTGGATCTATTTTATTTTCAATTTTTTCTTTTCGAAATTTTGCAAATTTGGACAAAACACCCCAAAACGACTTCGATTATGTACCGAAAAAATAT